TTTATAAATTATAATATATAATAAATTAATAATAATAATATATTAATATACTATATTATTAATATACTAATATAGATATTATATATTTATATAATATAAGTTATATAATTAATAAAATATATTATTTATATATATTAATATTAGGGATGTCAAACTTGTTTGTCGTTCGCGAACAGCTCGTTTTCAGCTCGTGTTTGACTCGTTCGTTAAGAAAAGAGCACGAACAGTGACTTCACGAACAATTTCAAACACGAGCTTATTTCAAACAAACTAAATTTCAAACGAACCGAACATGAACACAAAATCTATTCGTTCGTGTTCGATTTGTTTACACCCCTACCTGTAATGCATGGAAAATACGAGAAATTAAAATGTTTGCGAAATCATAATTTCTTATTCATTGAAAAAACCTTTTCTTAAAAAAAAAAAATCCAAAATTCTCACCTCCTTATCCCAATCACATTTGATGGTCATGATGGCCAATATCAGTGTCTGAATAGCCGTTCCTCCAATCATGCCAGCCCATATTCCCTACAATTATATATCAACAATATTCAAAATTTCATAAACACCCACATTTATAAAATCCTATATTATTTACATAATTTCTTATGCATTTACATATCTCACACCTAAACTTCAAATATTTACATCCATACCACATTGATGCTTTAAACATATGTTGTGCATTTCATTTTTAAAAGTGATAATGATGCTATTTTTTACGTGATATTATAGATTTCAATGCTAAGTGCGTAATATGAAATTTTGTGTGTCGACATATACAAATATATAAGAATCATGTGCTAAGTATGTAAATGTGTCTAAGGATCCGTTTAGGGCAGCTTGTGTGTTTCAAGATAAGCTGCTTAAGCCGATCCGCAACCTGCGTTTAGTGTAAAAACCCAAATGCAGTTTCGGATAAACTGGCGAAACGCGCGAATCAAACGGTATGGCGGCGTTTTCAAAACGTCGCCCGCACTTATAAGCTGTCCCAAACGGACCCTAAATAAATAAGAAAAATTCATATCACAACCCTAAGCTTTAATATTTATATCCATTGTTTTTTACTGCTTTAAACTTATGCATGAAAATATGAATGTGGTAAAGAAGAAATTTTTGTGGGTGAGATAAGTAAATACATAAGAATCGTGTGATGAATATGCAAATGCATCAAATCAAATAAATAAATTCAATTATTTACCAAAACACCAAGATGGAGAAGCCATCCCATGAGTATCCCAAGAGGAATCCCAATCAAATAATATGATCCAATGTTAACATATGCCACAATTGATTGCCACCCTGAACCAACTGCAACACCTATTTTGCACCATGATCATAATTTGAATTAGTTTTATTTCATGTTTTAAGAAAAACTAAAAATAATATAAAAAAAGAACCTGAAAGAATGGGTTGAACGCTGTTAAGAAGAATGGTGAGAGCCAGCAGGAGAGAAAGATTGTCGACGGCGCGGATGACGACGTCGCTGATGGTGAAGATGTAAGCGACTTTGTTATGGAGTGCAACGACCAATACAGAGAAGAAAACTCCGATGATGCTCGAGGTGATCACGGCGTTGATGGTTGCGAACCTGGCTCCTCTACTGTTGTTTGCTCCGAGCTCGTTCGCTACCCTCACCCTATTACAAATCATCAAAGAGAGAAACAAACATGTTAAATGAAGATTTACATAGATATCAATCGATTCCTATGTATTTATATATCTAACACTGAAACATCATTCAATTTTTACATATGTCAACTTAACAAAATGTAGATTTAACTATTTAAATGTTACGACACTAATGCTTTTTTTTTTTATCGTAAAAAGAAAGATTTGAGCGACATAAATGTAAAGAGTAAAGTTCAAGTATTAGATATGTAAACATGTGGATGTTGTATGGTATGTATGTCATTGCCTCAATGTTAAAACTGTCTCAATGTTGTATATGTTAAGTCAAATAATTCAAGTCCATATATAGATAAAACTGCAAATGTCATTGCGGCTGAAAACCTTCCCCCATAATTTGAAAATTGGCACTAAAAGCCTTTGCAGCGCTAACAATTGCAGTCGTTTAAAACTCGTTGTAAGGCTTACCCGGTTGCAGCGAAGAATGCAAGAGGAATCATCAACTCCCACCCATTAATACTGATGCTGCACATCAGAAATGAATTTTATGAACAAAACATTATGTTAATATGTTATACATTGTAAAAATAAGATAGATATAGAGAAATGGGTCACCATATGGAGAGGGCATCCACTGCAATTGCAGCATTCTTTATGTTTCCAGCAAGCACTATCAGTATTCTATAGTACCAGTTCTCCAAGCTGCATCAACAATTAAACAAATTGCATAAAATGATCTATGTAACATATGATTAGCTCAATTTTATAATAAAAGATTTGCATACATACCACTAAACTCCAATTTTTACAAATATATCATTTCACCAATACAAGGAAAAGTGTATTTCAGTTTTAAGAAGTTAAAAGGATGATACTATTGATAAGATATGAAATAGGGCTGTGAATTTGGCTCGAAGATCTTTTAATCGTTTGAAAATTGATTCAAATTTTTGCTCGGATCGAAATAAAGGAGCCGAGCTATGAGCTTTAATTTTGAATCGATTTTTTTCGAGCCATACACGGATCAACTCAAACTAGCTCGAGATTGGCCCGAATTTACAAAAATTATATATAATATTACAAAAATCAAATATGGCAGCTTACGAGTCGATTTTCAGCTGAAACGGATCCAAATAACTCAATTTGAACCATCTTACTTTGATTTCGAGCCAGATCGAGCCGATTTCGAGCTGAAATGGATCCAAATAACTCAACTTTGAGCCAACTAGTTTCAATTTCAAGCAGGATCAAGCTATATTCAAATTTTCAGCCAATCAAACTGGCCCAAAATCAAACCCATGAGCTGATTTCGATCCAAACTAAATCCATTATATCCATTAACAAATCTAATATGATATATATATATATATATGTATGTATGTAAAGGACACTAAATAAATATATATTACCAATATACCATACCATAGCATAACTCCTGAAGCCGCGGAAAGCTTCAAGAACTCCCACAGGCCATCAAAAGCCCGCATAGAAAACCCCATCCAAGTCTCCCCGCACCCACCGCAAATCACGAATCCCATGAGCAGCACCACCCCCAACCACCACGAGAAATTCAAAATCATCGCCGCACCAAACAGCCCATATCCGCAACGGTACACAAAAAGCCACGTGGCAATCAGATGAACGACCACCACCACAGCCGAAACGACGGCGTGGACCGCGTTCCTCAGCTGGCACTGTAAGAACCTCTGCAGCGGGAGGATGAAGACGAAGGAATAGTGAACGGGAATGAACCAGACGGAGAGTTTTCCGGCTGCCGCCGCGAGCCCCGGCGGC